TGAAATGGTGCTATTGTCTGTGGAAGGATCCCCAGGAGAAGTAGTGTTCTTTTTGCCTCTGCTCTAGTGAACACCCTTCCTTGTGCTAAGATACTGAGGAATGGACCCCAGATGGCAATGCTTGGGTCCCAATTCCGAGAGAACTCACAGGGCATCATGGTTCTACTCAAACGAGCCATAACATGCCAATTATTTGCTTTTCTGGAGAAATCTCAGCCTGAAAATCTGTTTAATTACCATGGGAGCTAATCTTTTAAATATAGCTTTACATTCTTTAAAGACTTTTCCCTGTTGGAGTAAGAAAGTTTATCTGAACATGGGATTGGATTGTTTATTTTCATTTCCAGAGGAAAGACTATTACCTGATAGTTAGCAAGAAGCCTGAGCCCTGGAGGATTTATTTTTAAAGTTTGTTCCTCCTTACTGATAGTTTGTCAATTATATTGTAATAATTAGTTTGTAGTATTATCATACTTTTTTTTTTTTTTGTAGTATTGTCATACTAAGTGAAAACCTTGCACTTAGCTCTGTTACTCTAGGTCTATAATTACTTGATATTTCTCAAGCATCCCTATCAGGTTGGATTCTATACTTACCCCAGACACGGATATCAAGAATCAGTGTCCTCCAGGGTTTCCTCTCAGGAAGATCATATCTGTAAATCCATTAGCCTCAAACACCTACCTGGAGCTATAGTCAGACACCAAATTTTCCAACTTGAAGCATCCCAGCAGATTCATTAAATTCTTCCCCACTAGAATACAAGTATGGGCCAGCAGGGGCCTTAGTATTGTGTTCAATTTAGTGGCCCCAAGACCCGGAGCAACCTTTGCCCATGACAGGTGTTCGATAAACAGATGCCAAATTGCCAAACGTTGACAGGTCTTCCACGTGGGGAGGTTATGTATTGTGTCAAAATATGAATGATGTACAAAATGAAGCAGAGCTCGTCAGGCCCTAGTCCCTTGTATGGGCTGCTCTAATCCTTTCCCCACCTCACTTCAAGAGCAAGTGGTCTTGAGGGACTTGCTGGGCCTAACTCCCTAGGCTAAAATCTCTGGACCTTGAAGAATACACCTATGCAGATTAAGAAAAGAAGAGAAAAGGAGTAATTGTATTGAACACAGAACTGGAAGGTAAGGAAACAATATCTGTGGAAAATTGATTAAATTTTGGGCTTGAATCTCTCCTTCTAGGTCCTGATGGGGAGACGAGCTGGTCCAAAAACTACCCATCATGTGGAGGTCTGCTGCAGTCCCCAATAGACCTGCACAGTGATATCCTCCAGTATGATGCCAGCCTTGTGCCTCTTGACTTCCAAGGCTACAATGTGTCTGCCAATGAGCAATTTATCCTGACCAATAATGGCCATTCAGGTGAGGAAGAGACCTCAGAGACCTGCAGGGGATGTCTGAGCTTCCCCTCAGCTCCTTGCCTGTCAGGGAGGGCGCTCCGTTGAGGTACCAGGGGGAAGGGCAGAGGGGAGCTCTCAAGGGAAGCCCAGACCACTCTCTCCAGGGGATGCTAGAGGCCCTGGGCTCCCGCTGTTCTGCCAGGGCAGCGCCTCTCAGAAGAAGCACATGTCTTGGGATAGGAGAGGGGGACAAGCATGAGCCCCTTGGCACATTGGCTGTGGTAGGAAAATGAATTCTTGGGCATCATGAACTCAAGGAGCCACACAGTTCGTGGCGGGTGCACACCCAGGCTTTGGAATCAGACAAACCTGAATTTGAATCTTGGCTTGACCACTTGGCCAGAGTCATGAGCCTCTGGGTAAGAATTTCAACCTCCTCAAACTTTCATCCGGAAAATGGGCATATTGGTGGGTACTATCAAGACTAGAGATTATGTATGTTGGGATCTGGCATAGAGTAAATACTTCATAAATAGCAATTATTATTATTGTTGCTGCTATAGGACTCTACATCTTGGCAGGTACTTCGTTAAAGGTTCCATCTTCATAGCCAGGAGTGTGATATGTGGATATATAAATAAACAACCATCCCTGGGTCTAGTATTAGTGTTCCTGCCATCATTTTCCAGAGGGAACCAAGAAGGTCCCAGTGCCACTGGAATTGCTTTAGTGAAACAGGGATGTTCCCAGGGAAAGTGGCCGGATTTCTGGCCTGCAGACTGTGTTCTCTCTGGTCCCTACCTTGCTGCATCCACCTGCACCCTGTCTGGGCCCCGGGCAAGTGTTGTCTACCTGACTCTGAAGATTGCCTCTCCACTCCCTGCAGTGAAGCTGGAGCTGCCCCCAGCCATGCATATCCAGGGCCTCCCTTCCCGCTACAGTGCCACACAGCTGCACCTGCACTGGGGGAACCAGAACAACCCCCACGGCTCCGAGCACACGGTTGGCGGGAAGCACTTTGCTGCCGAGGTGAGTGGGGTTGTCAGGCTGGCAGCAGCTGCCTGGCAGTGGGCGGGCTGGTATCCTCCCACTTGGCTGGTGTGCAGATAAGATCAGAGCATTGGAGAGGTGAGGTGGGCGCGCTGCCTTCATGCTTTCCACACTCGCGTCCGGGCCTGTCAGTAACACAGGAAGGTATAGCCACCGTGGCCACCCTGCGGCTCCTGTGGTGGCCTGATCCCCTTCCTCTCCTGAACAGGCTGACTTTGTCTCTATGTTTTTTACTGAGTGATGCTGCTCAGAAGGCAGTGCTCCCAGCGGGCACAGTGGGATATACATATTCCTTTTCTAGATATCCCCCTTCTGCCTGCACAGATTAAGATCCCACCAGCTTGTCTAGCTGATGCATCCCACTGTTGAATCATAGTGGGCTAATTGCTCCCCCAAATTCAGCCTTTCTTCACATGCCACGCTGTTTACATAGGTCTTTTTCATCCTATCTTTCTTTTCCCTGGACGTAGATTGTCCTTGGAACTTGGGGACTCAGGTCCAGGGCTACTCTTCTACTTGGTCACAAATCAAAGAATGACTGGCATTATAACGTACAGGGCATCATGGCAACCAGAGACTGACCGAGGGTAGCTTAGGATTTCAGCACAGCATTGTGTTACATTGCCCTGAGGTGCTAACCCAAAATGCTAAAGGAAAACAGGATGAGATGCAAAGCATTGTTCCTGCACTACAAGTAGGGGAAGAGAATTGAGTTGCTCCATTTCAGAGCTCCCATGGGCTTGACCTTGGGGGTGTGGTTCTAAATGTTTACAGGGCATTACAGGGAGATAAATGCTACTGATCAACCAGTGGAGCCCATACTAAATAATGACATGACCTCTCTCTTCTGTTCTTAATTGCTGAACAGCTTAATGTCTCAGGCTAATTATAGGTTGAGTTACAAGGGTGGAGGAACTATAATTTTGGCCCAATGTGATGGCACTACTGCAGGTGCACATATTTCAGACCAGGCCCCTCTCTGAACCTCCAGGACTGTGATTTCTTCCAGCCTAATTGCAATGTGGAGGCTTTTACTTTCCCATGGGGAATAAAGAAGGAGTTATGGTCTAGGCTGGGAGGGTTTGGACATTTAATAATATTTCTAGTTTTTGTATTTTCTGATATTAAGCCACATCATCAGACCAAGAACCTGGTGAAAATGGACCATAAATGTCAACAATAGAGGAAATATGTCAAATTAACCCTAAAGTGGTAGATTCTCTACGGAGGGTCTTGGAGAATGTAGAGGTCCTTCTGAATTGAGTCTACATAAGAAGACTCAGGAAACTCTCTTAATCCTCTCATAGGGAATACCCTTGTTTCTATTAGTCTTTACCTCCTCTAGATTTAATCTGAACACAGTGAGAAAAGTGCTAAGACAGACCATAAACTCAAAGGTCAGTTATAAAAAGAAATAAGGATCTAGCACCTCTGGGGTTTTGGCCATATAGAATTTTGCTCCATTTGTGAAAGCAACGCCAGGCCAAGATGGTGTGGGGCAATGCGGGAGTCTATGTTCTCTGGGGGAAAGATGGTGAAGTAGGAGCCCCTGAGACATCCTTAATAGAGGACCACCTGAAGGAAGCAATAATTTTACATAATTTTTTAAAATTAGAAAGGACCACTTGAAAAGTGGGGACATTCACCTGTGCTCAATAAAACATTCTTTTTGATCATGTTTCAATATTCTTGAATTCTATTTATAAATACATAAGATGGAAAAAAGAGTTGAGTAAAAAAGAAAAGAGGGATAAAATCTCAATGCGTCATAGTCCCAAGAGGCAAAGAATCAACAAAAATGCGTGTGTCTTATCTGTAGAACTATCTACTCGTACAGTTTTTTGGAGAACAAGGGACACCGCCTTTAGGATTAAAAATCAGGTTAAATATTGTCAGAATTTGTATGTATATATTTTAGGCAAGGCAACCCTTGATTGACCTCACAGATTGCAAGAACCTTGTCAGCTTACAATCCCTTATTTTTTTATTTTATTTTTTATGCCTACAGCACCTGATCTTTGTAGGTGGTCTCCCATCCAAGTACTAACCAGGCTCGACTCTGCTTAGCTTCAGAATTTGTCATAATAATGTCTTAATGCTTACCTAAACTTTTTAAACCTAAAATTTCTTGAAAATTCTTTTCTTCACTTTAATAATGACAACAAAATTCTGCTTTGAAAAGACGAGTTTAGAATTTTATTTTGTAAAGGTAAAAGTCTACATTCATGAAGTAACATTCTTGTTCCATGGCCTTTTAAAATATGATTGATAAAACTTTATAAAAGCCAAGCTGTGATTTTCTCCATCTGAGATAAATATGTGTCCTACTCTGGATACAAATACGATTAAGTTACAGATGGAAGTTTACCACCCCAGCCCCCACTTCTTCCAGATCAAGTGGAGAGTGGCCAGGCTGAAGTTGGGTGAGCCACATTAGACAATTTTACCCAAGGCTCCAAAACAGGTAAGAAAAATCAGAAGGGTTCAGAAGTGCTCCAAAATACCCAGGCTTTTTCATGGCTGGTATAAAAACCCATTCATTCATTTCCTCCTTCACTCATTCAACATCTGTTGTGCACCTGTTACTTTCCAAGCACCATATCAGACAATGGGACACAATGAGTGAATAAAATGGACAGTCTGCCCTGGCGGAGTTTGCAGTCTGGAGCAGGGGTCCCCAACCCCCAGGCTGCTGACAGGTACAGGTTTGTGGCCTGTTAGGAACCAGGCCACACAGCCAGAGGTAAGCAGCAGGTGAGGGAGCACAGCTTCATTTGTATTTGCAGCCACTCCCCAGCGCTAGCATCACCGCCTCAGCTCTACCTCAGATCATCAGGCATTAGATTCTCATAGGAGCAGCAGTCCCTGGTGCCAAAAAGGTTGGGGACCGCTGGTCTAGAGGACTGAGGGAAAAGAAAAACTGGGGAGGCCATGAGTGGAAGGTCTGAGGGGCCTAACCTACCTGGGAGGGGGTCTGTCATCCCCATTGGATTCCAGTCTCCTGCAAAAGTGAAAGGTTCCCATGAGTCGCCCATTCCCTCATGAGAGGTTTCTTGCCCATTGCAGCTGCATATTGTCCATTATAACTCGGACCTGTACCCTAATGCCAGCGCTGCCAGTAACGAGTCAGAAGGCCTCGCCGTCCTAGCTGTTCTCATAGAGGTAAGACGTATTTAAAGGGATTTTACATTAAATTTGAAGGTGGGATTATATCAGACTCAGCATTTGGTTCCATGCACGTCTGTTGGCTGTGTGTGGCTCACTCCCATTCTATGTCTTGCCTCTAGAGCAGAGGCTGTTCCCCCATAGGGGGCCTGGAGGCAGCACTTTCTGTGGCTGGGCAGCAGAAATGGGTGTGTCCTTTGTGACAATGGAAAAATGAACCCTAGTCCCTAGTTCTATTGCATAAGTTATGGAATTGCCCATTTGGATGCAGTGTGTGTGTGTGTGTGTGTGTGTGTGTGTGTGTGTGTGTGTATGTGTGTTAGAGTGTGTGTGTGTGGGGTGGGTGGTCATTCAGCGCTGCCCCATTAGATGCCTGAACCCTTGATACAACTCCTGGTATCCAAGTTCCATCCTTTATATGGACCCTGGAATGAGTTCTTTCCTTAATTCCAGAAAATGGGAATGTCTCCTGATTCACTTGTATTATTTTTCCCTAGAAAATAATACCATGTACTTTGTTTCTCAACATGCTTACTTGCCTGAACTGGCTTGCATGAACTCAAGCTCTTTTAAGTTCTGGTTAGAGAATATGCTAGTTGTGGCCTTCAGGCTTATAGCCAGATAATCAGGACAACAAGCTATCTCCCTTGCCCTGAGATAATAAAGTCCCAGTGCCTGGAGCTGGAAAAAGGATGTCCTGAGACACAAGAGGGCAAAACCATTACACTAATCCCCTACTGGCCTAGTGACCCACCACAATTGTCCTAGTAAAGAGCTGCTTCAGGGAGGGCCTGGCAGCAGTGACCACAAACCCCCAGCCCAGCCCTCCCATTAGCAGTTGTCAACCCAGGTTCAGCCTATAGAATTCTGTCCCGGTTCAACATGCCCTGTCTCTGTTCCAGATGGGCTCCTTCAATCCATCCTATGACAAGATCTTCAGTCACCTTCAAGAAGTAAAGTACGAAGGTGAGGGGGTCCTGAGATGCTAATTTACCCTCTGTTGGAAAAAGATGTAGTCACTCCCGTGTGACCTAAATTAAAACAAATGTAGGGGGTGAGTGCTGTCTGTGAGCAGGCCCTTGGGTCACATGGCCCAAAAAGGGACTAGTTTACATTTCTAGGCTCAGTCATACACTCTGCTGCACCTCTGCCATGGGGAGCGAGGCTGACGTCATCTTCTCAACATGTCTCTCCAGGCCAAGAAGTGCTCATTCCAGGTTTCAGCATTGAAGAGCTGCTTCCTGAGAGGCCTGCTGAGTACTATCGCTACAAAGGGTCCCTGACCACACCTCCTTGCCACCCCACGGTGCTCTGGACAGTTTTCAGAAACCCTGTGCAAATTTCCCAGGAGCAGGTAACTGTCACACCCCTCCAAGTCAAGGACCACGTGGTACTACCCATATCATAATCAGTGACTCGGTTTCCTCACTTAAGAGTTTCACTGGCAACTATGCAGAACCTTTCCAAATATCACAGGTGCCTGGAATGCTGCAGAAATTTCAGCCTGAGTTATCAAGTCAAGCTAGGAAAATAAATGTCTCCACAGTTCTTTAAGCCCCAATGTTCCTCTGATCTAGAATTTAAAGAAGAGTTGTTAAGCTGCATTTCCTAATACATCCCTTAGTGGATGGTGTTCACCTCCCAGACAGGAGAGAGCATGGTTCCTTTACAGGGGCAGAATAAAGACAGGATTAGGTTAAATCATTTAACAATCTGGGAAGCTGGGATTATGGCAATGAGTGAGGGTCTCTGCCCTCAAGAAGCTCACAGTCTAGTGTAAAACTGGGGAACAGACTCCTTAGCAAGCATCTCTAACCCTCTCATCTTATAGGTGATGGAAGTGAAGGTTAGAGAATTGAGGAGACTTTCAGGATCACCACTGGTTAGTGACAGAGCTAAGACCCAAAGTCAGATCTTCTGAGCTCCTGGTCATTGCCTGTCCCTTTATTCCACAGCTTCGATTCATCGAGAGGAAAAAAGGGCTGCCAGGAGCCAAGGCCAGGGCAGTGCTATCCACTGGCTCACGGCCTACCTCACCCTTGACCCTCTTTCATGAGTCCAGAACAGCCCTCATTGTTGCTCCTTCTTTTTTACTATGAGCTACTGATCTGAGTAACCTAGATACAGGACAGCAAGTAGGCGGATAGGAATAAAGATGAGATGAATCAAGAGGTGCAACGTGCTAGGAAGCAGTAACATCCTAACCCAGAAACTGCCTTGGAAGCAGATTATGTAATCCATGCAGGTATAGGAAAATTCCATGGAACTAGCAGTCAGATGACCTGTGAAACTCTTGCCTCCCTCTTTTTGTTCCTTTTTATGGGAACATCAGAATAAGTCCCGATGCCCCACCGATTTAGAGTCGGATGCCAAATCAGGCTCAGGAGAGGAGTGCAGTCTCTGCGAGAGGCTGAGGAACCCCTGCAGCGCCCCAGGTTTCCCTCCTGCAGGGCAGATTTCAGCACTGACCTAGCCTCAAACCTGGGGATGTGGGGAGGCAGAGCAGCTCACCCGGTGCCCAGTCACCCAGATGCCTGCAGGGGAGGGGAGCAGTTCTCTGGCTTTCCCACTGCTTTCTACTGTATCTCCCACCAAGGCCTTGGAGCTGAGGCTGGCAGTCTCTTCCCCACTGAGGTTAGGCAAGGGAGCTGTCACTCTGCCTGCAGGGTATATTTCTGCTCTTCTCACCACAGCTTCTGGCTTTGGAGACAGATCTGTACTGCACACGTGAGAATGACTCATCCCCCAGAGAGATGATCAACAACTTCCGGCATGTCCAGAAGTTTGATGAGAGGTTGGTGTACATCTCCTTCCGACAAGGTAAAGAGCTGCAGTGTGTGAGGGTCAATGTGGTACCAAGACATCTGTTTAGTATGAAGTTGGGTGCCCTCTCTCAGGCTTTGTCCCCAGTGCCCTTAGGTGGATTAAGAGTACCCTGGCTGCCAAGGGAACCAGTGTATGTGAGAAGCTACTGTGTGTGGATTTACTGAGGTCTCCCTTCACTGCTCTTGACTTTCCTGAGCCTTTGCAGTGAAGCACAAGCCAGAGCCTCCAGGTACACGGACCAGAGCTCTCATTAAATCTGGGAGTCTCCCACAGATGGGGAAGAGAGGGTGTTCTGGGGGACCTCTCTGCTCTGGAGAACGACTCCTTCTCCTAAGACACATAATAGGTCCTCTTCCAAGAGATCACACTTCTAGCATCTTATCCTGGGCTTTCTCGGCATCAAGGCCCATCTTCAGCCCTGCCAGGTGATTCATGGCACCAGCAGCACCACCAGGATGCTCCTTTGTAAGGAGCCATGTCTGTGGTCACAAGTGGCTCATGGTCTAATGTAGCAGGGCCCATCAAGGAAGGAAGCATCTGCATTCATTGCCTTTTTGTCTCAGCTCCTTGAAGCTTGCTTAGGAACAGACACACAGGATCTATACTGAGTGAAACTTAATAGTTTGGTTTATTCTTAATGCTATAAAATCTCAACTATTCCTTTTAAATTCATAACCATAACTCTCCAGAAGGACATTTAACATCTTTATCTGCTCAGTACCTACGTCAATACTGTTGGAAGCTAGGTGTCCAGGTAAAGGGGTAGGGAGCACTCAGGACCCCCACCCTTCTTTAAACCTCCAAGTTTACTTTCTCACTATAGATACTTGAGCTGCTCCCAACTTGGGAGTTTTGAGCGGTCAGAAGCAGGGTAGGTCCACTTTACCCACTTACACGCCACGTGACTGAACTGGGCCAGTTGTTCATATTTAAAAATGGCCCCATCAACCCACTTGTCAGAGAATCAGCTCTCCTCGTCTCATCCGGTGCACCTTTTTTTTTTTTTTCTTTTCCTATGGTGTGAGATTATAAGTTATCACCTACTAAGCTTCTGTGAACATATGAGGATTGTATTTCAAAGCTCTTGCCAGAAAGCTTTAGAAACATGCCCTTCAGAATCGACCTATACATGTGGTCAGAATTCTGTCCTTCTTTGTCAGTTACTTAATCAAGAACTGCCCAAGAATTTATCCTTTTTGCCTTCTCCAGATACAACTAGTCAAGGCGATTTCTCTCTTTTTCTCAAGTTTCTGGTCTGAAAAGTGAATCTGTGAACAATGGACCTTCCTAAAAATTGAGAATGTGTATAATGATGACTATGAAAACTTCTTTCCTAGGGAACGCTGCATATAGAGAGCAGTACCCCTTTGTGATCTACTCCAAATATAACTTCCTCTTTTCCTGTTTCTCTAAATGGAGTATGTAGTAGTCAAAGTTAAATGGAAATACTTCAACTCTTAAATAAAATAAAAAACATAAAAACTGCCTGGACGTAGAATCTTGCCCAGAATTCAGGTAGAATTCTGCTTGTATTCAAGGATAATTATCAGCTCTGTTTTCTGGGCTAGTCTACGTAAGTCACAGGGGACAGCATGACAAATACTCCCCCATAGTTAGGAGACCTAGGTTCAAGGCCACACCTTGTCTCTTCTTGGATGTATTATGTGGGCAAACTATGTCCCTTCTTAGGCCTTGGTTTCCTCAGCCATAGAATGACAGGTTGGACAAGATGAGCTAACATCCTTTCAGTGCTAACATGTTATGCATTTAAGTGGACACTAACAACTGCCCATCCTGACTTTACATTGCAGGGACAGTGTGTGAGGGCAGTTACAGAGGATCGGAAG